GGCGGCGGCGCGCCGGAGCGCGGGGACTGGGCGCGGGCCGTCCGGTGCCTGCCGGTGGCATCTTGGTCCTGGGCCAGGATCAGGACTCCCCGGGCGGCGGCTTCTCAGCTCGAGACGCCTTCAGCGGCAACCTCACCGACTTCCACCTGTGGGCCCGAGCGCTGAGCGCCGCGCAGCTGCTCCGGGCACGCGCCTGCGCGCCACCCCCGGGCGACCTGCTCTTCCGCTGGGACCCGCGGGCCCTGGACATCGCGCCCTCGCTGCTGCCCGTAGTGCGCCAGCGCCTTGTTTGTCCGGGTACGATGCGCACGCCGCCCCGCCCCCTGGCTCCTGACACCTTCCCTTCCGAAGGTTTGACCCAGTTCACTCTCGTGCCATGCCCGCCCACCCAGCTCTGCCCACGCCCTCCGTAGGCAGCCAGTGGCCGCCCCGCCAGGCACCCGCGCAGCCGTGGTAGCTTGGAAGCGGGTTGCTGCTGGACGCAGTGTGCTGGCGCCTCCCGACGCCACAGGGTGGGTCACGTGACCAGTGGGGAGCCGGGTGCGGCCTTGACCCCCTCCCCTGCCCTGCCAGTGCCCTCAGAAGAGTGCCCAACTTGGAACCCAGGTCCCGGCACCGAGGGCTCGGAGCTCTGCCTGCAGCCGCGGCGCTTCCTTTGCTGCTACGGGAAAGGTACGTGCGCCCTGGGCTCTGCTGAGGGGAAGCCATGGAGCTGAGGAGCCAGTGGTTGGCAGAGTCGGGGATTCGGCAGCTTGGAGCTTCAGGGCCCACACGGAATTTAGGCCACAGCACAGTGGGGCCACACAGATGTGGGCTGGACCCCAGCACAGCGACCTTGGGCAAGCGATTTTGCCGCCTGTGCCTCAGTTTCTCCATCTAGCACCAGCTGTGGGTGTGCTTTTCCTGCCCCGGGCATCACGTGCTGGGGCCGGGCTCGCTCAGCAGGCTGGCATCCGCCCTTCACAGAGACCTATCAGCAGCTGCAGGACGTCCAGCTGTGGCCCGGCCAGGACGTGATCAGCCAAGTCAATGCACTGGCCAATGACACTGTGGTGAGTCCCTCCCAGGAGAGACTGGTGGGTCTGGGGCCACTGTGGGTCACCTCAGTGTACCTCAGTTTCCTTCCTCCAGAGGGGACCCCTGCCTGATGCATCTGCAGAAACTGAGAGTGTTCATGCTCCCTGTCTGGGAGCCCTTGAGAGCTGGGAGCTTGTGGCGAGGTTGACCTGCACCCCCCAAGAAGACCCGTCAGAACCCAAGAGTGGCCCCGGGGGCTCCCTCGTGACAGCCGGCCAGGCAGTCAGTGGCTCCTCTACCCACAGCTCCTGCCAGACCCCTTCTCTGAAGCCCCTGGGCCGCTGTCCCTGGACAAAGCCTGCAGCTTCTTGGGTGTCCTGGAGAGAGTCCTGGCTCCGAAGCCGGTGCTGGGGCCAGCAGCATTGCTGGCTGTCCTGGGCTTCCTGAAGAGGGTGTCGGCCCTCGAGGCCAGGGAACCAGAGCCCTTGGCCAGGCCCTGGGAGCCGCTGGGCCGAGGCATCGTGTCTGTGACCAGCCTGGTCCTGGAGGAGCAGCTGGCTGACACGTGGCTGTCCATCAGCAAGGTGAGGTGGCGGCTGGCCCGGGCCTGGCTTGTTGAGTCACCGTGGGCGAGTCAGTGCCCATTTCTCTCTACTTCTCCGTGCCTTGGAAGAAAGAAGCTCTCTTTGGTCTAGTGTCTGGGTTGACTCTACCTGAACAACCACGTCTGTAGATAAGAGTGATTAAGAGCTGTGAATGAGCAAGGCCTTCCCATGTCCAAGAACCAGCCGCCCGCTGGAGAGGCTGTTGGTCCTCATCCGGGACGTGGGGCCATAGCCCTGGGAGGGAACAACAAGCCGTGCAAGGGGGCCACAAGCCCTGGGGCTGAAGGCTTAGACACTGGGTAGCCTTGGGACAGAATCAGGGCCCCCCGGGGGGGTGGCACTGCCTAGCAGGCTGGTCCTGTCACCAGGATACATAGCAGGTGTCCCATCAGAGGAGCTGTGCAGGCCACATCAATCAGGGATCTCATGCACAATAGCAAGTCAGGGAAGGCTGGACTCGGAATGTCCGTTTTCTGGCCAAGAGGAGGGAGATTCTCACGCAGGCCTTGGTGACGCAATGGAGAGGAGCTGGTGGCTTGACGTGTGTTGTCCCCTCCTTCCCCTGTTCTCCCCCCCATGTGGCTTTTTATTAATTCTTAATTCGGGCACCTGTTATAGGGTTAGCACCGAGTCAGAGTGGAGGAGAGGCGTTTGGCCAGCCCTCAGCATGTGCCGCAGATGGCAAGCGACAGGCCTTCACCTTCACTGGGGATGGGGCACTTGAGAGATGGGGACGGGGAACAAGGAATGCCGAGCCAGGCAGGGCTTCCCACGCCTGCCTGGAGACCCAGGACTTGATCCCAAGCCCCAGGGAGCCACGCAGGGTGTGGAGCAGCTTGGCCGCCTCATAGAGCATTAAGAACCTGCTGGGCCCAGGGCAGGGCTGCAGCAGCAGGTGCAGTGTCAGTGGCGCTGACAGGTCCCTTCCTCCCAGGTGGTTGGCGGACCTACGGCCCTGCTGGACACCATGCAGCGTCTGGCACCCCTGCTGAGCACCATGCTGAGCCCTGAGCAGCCCTGGATACACATCCAGTACCGCCACGTGGGTGAGTCTGCCACCCACAGCTGGGTCAGGCAGCTCTCAGCCTGGCCCAGGGGAGCTCTCTGTACTCCCACCAACACCCCATGCTGTTTCCTGCCTTCACCTTCCATCCAGAATGCCCTTTCTCCCTGGATCTCCTAGCTAGCAAACTCCTATTCATCCTTCAGAACCCTGCTTGAACATCAACTCCTATCTATCAAGCCATCTCTTGTTTGAGCCCTGTCCTGATAGTTTGTTCCTCCCCTCATCATCCCAGCATGTGAAGATGGCTCTTGTTGCATTTGTCATAATTATATACCAGGATTGGCTTGCTTGTGCTGACCCCCCTGGGTGCCATGGGCTGTTTCTGAGCCAACTCTCCCCAGGGCCAGGCTAAGCACATGCTGGGAAATGTTTAGAGATTGGGTAAGGAGGACAGCTGAGGTAACCTTCAAGCACAAATTCATATCCTCTGGCGGCCACTGCTTCTGGAAGCTCACTGGTACTCAGGTCCCAGCCTTGGGCCAGTGGCTGGGCCTCCTTGAGCAGGACTGGTGGCCTCAGGCCTGTGACTGCACAAGGGCAGGCTAACCCTGCACAGCTGCCAGCTGGGGCTTCTACACAGTGCTCTGTGGAGGGACAGGGTGCTCCGCCCGAGGCCCTGCCCCCACCCCGTTTCATCTCAGGCCTGCAGGTGCGGAGCCTGCACCTGAGGGAGGCCAGCACCTCGGGTTACACATTCACCATGCCCGGTGGGCACCCGGAGGGGCCCGGCCACATCCACATCCCCGCCGGGGAAGTGCGGCGGCTCCTTGGGGAAGGTGGGTGAGGGCCAGGGTATAAGCAGCTGCCCCATGGGAGTGTCACTTAGTTTTCTCCGCTGAACCCACAGTTTTCCTCAGCAGTGGGTGGGAGAGGAAGGCCCCACCCGAGGCTGAGCAGGGGTGGGAGTTGGGGCAAAGGACAAAGGGTTTGGAGCTGCGAGAGTGAGCTCTGAGCCTCAGTTTCCCTTGCTGTGAAGTGGAGCTCCCTCCCCTCAGAGCCAGCCGGGGTGCCTGCCCAGTCACCTGGTGGGGTCTCGCATCCCCCTTGCCCTCAGCCAGGCCTCTCCGGAGTCACCGCCATCCACAGCTGGTTCTCATCCGGCGTCTTCCAGCACACTGGGGGGGCGCCTGGCCTGGAACCCCAGTTCCCTGCCAGCCCGGAGGAGGCGAGCAGGGTGCAGAGGTGAGGACCCCCACGCACAGTAGGCTGCTCATGCCTGAGGACCTCCTGGTCAACCCCTCCTGTGCCGGGGGGAAAGAAGGCTGGTGGGACACGGCTTATCCCACCTAGGGTTCTGCTTATCCCACCTTGAGGGCCACCCGCAAGTCCCCAGGGCGGGGCAGGAGCCCGGGGCACTGAGGACCATGTTTCTTTGAACACAGAAGGCGCCATCGCCAGCACAGGGCCTGCACCCCTACCGCCGCCCTTGGGCACCCCTTTCTCCCCGCAGGCTCCTGAGCACCCGGGTGGGCTCAGCCGTGCTTTCCTCCGAGGTGCGGGATGCTGCCGGGCCAGTCAGCACCGCCGTGACCTTCCACCTGCAGCACCAGGCCCAGGTACTGAGTGGGCTTCTGAGTAACAGCGCCCCTCCCTGGGCACTTACCCCGGTGCACCCCACCCTGTCCCCAGTACTGTGTGTGTTTATTGCACAACCAAGGTCTAAATGTCAAGAAGGAAACCTTGCTCGTAGTGACCGTCTTTGTCCTCAAGGGAACAGAAAGGAAAGTGACATTTTGTGCACTTACTTTAGACCAGCACCATCGGTGGCCTTAACTAAGCCTTAAATAAGCAGCTGCGTTTACCTTTCCCACGGCCTGCTCCCTGTCACCTTTGGGAGACACAATGTTGTTGCCCCCAGCTTTAAGAGGCAGGAACAAGGATTTTGTCCAGGGCTGTGGAACCCATAAAATCAGATACCCACGGAAGCACAGGGAGATGGTGAGGCTTCCCTCCCTCCTACTTCTGGGCAGTGGAGACGACTTCCTGTCCATCTATGCCGGAGCCCTGGAGGATGACACGAGACAGCAGAAGTCAGATACCAAGTGAGATGGTTCTTTGTAAATGGACATGGAAAGATGGTGCAGACATGTCGAGTTCCTTAGAGGCAGCACCCAAAGCCCCCCCTTTCGGTATAGCGATGAAAAATACGTTTCCCACCTGCAGTAGGTTAAGTCTGTGCATGCAGAACCCCAGGGTACAGGGGCTCAAGCGCATGCATCTGTAATTAAATGGGCATTTTACAAGTCTTAACCAGTGTATATTCCCACGCACTACTCCGCAGTCGAGGCACAGGACATCTCTGCCTCCCTAAGGGCTCTTTGTACCTCTCCCTCGTGCGCGTCCATCTCAGGAAATCACTGCTCTGCTCTCTGACTGTAGATTATGCATGTCTTTCCTAGAGCTTATTATAAATAGAATCAGAGTAAATGTTTGAGGTGTGGCTTCTGTTGTGTGGATGACATTTTTTAGGATAATCCACAGTTTGTGCATTTTTGTGGTTCGTTCTTTTTCACTGCTGAGTAGTATTCCGTTGTGTGGATTACCATCATTTGTTATTCCATTTCCTTGGTGATGGAGATTTTCATTACTTTCAGTTTGGGCTATTACTAATATATTTGCTATGTGTACTCATATACAAGCCATGCTGTGGACATACAACTTTCTTCTATTGAGTAAATTCCTGGCATTAGACCTGCTGGGTTGTATTGTAAGTGCATTTTAACCCGTAAGAGATGGGGCAGTCGTTTTCCTTGGTGGTTGTCCCATGTGCGTTCTGCCAGACAGTACATGAGCGTTCCAGTTGCTCCATATCTTTGCAACATCTTGTCAGTCTTCTCAATATCATTCATTATGATAGTTACATGTTGATGTCTCATTGTGGCTTTAAGTTGCAATCCTGGAAGAACAATGATCTTGAGCATCTTTGTATCCACTTCTGGCACATGCATGTCTTCTTTTGTTAAATTTATGTTCAGATCTTTTCTCAATTATTTTTTGTTCCATTTTCAAGTTGTAAGAATTCTTTATGTAATTTGAATGCAAGCCCCTTTTCAGATACATGTTTTGTGAATAATTTCTCTTAGCCTGTGAGACCCTTTCAGTGAGGGTGGCTTTTTCACTTTCTTAACAGTGCCTTTGGAATATAAGTTTTAAATTGTGATGAAGTCCAATTTATTATTACTTTTTTCTTGCAGGGCTCATACTTTTCATATCCTAAGGAAGCTTTGGCCATCCCAAGGTCACACAGACATTCTCAAGGAAGTTTATCATTATAGCTTTTCTATTGAGTTATGATGTATTTCAAGTTAATTTCTGTTTGCTGTGTAAGGTAAGGATCAAAGTTCATTTCTTCCATGTAGACATCCAGTTCTTACACCAGTTGATGAAGAGCTTATTCTTTCCCCCTTGAATTACTGTGTCACATTTGCTGAAAAACAACTGCCCACAAATATATAGTGCCATCCCTGGTTATTTATTCTGTCCCATTGATCTCTGTCCTTACTCTAATTCCACACTACCCTGATTAATACACTCTTATAGTAAATTAAAATCAGTTAGTGTAAGCCCGCCAGCTTCTTTTTCAAATTTGCTTTGGCTAAGCTGGTCTTTTTTCCCTCCCATATACATTTTAGTATCATCTTGTCAGTATCAACCGAAAAACTCACCTGGATTTTGAACCCAGACATCAGTTTTGGGGAACTGGCATCTCAGTAATGACTCTCTCAGTCCACCATCAAGGTGCACACTTCTGTTTCTTAGGTTTTCTTAAACTTCTCTCAGCACAGTCATGTAGAGCCTTGAACAGATTTAGTTAAACGTGTCCCTCAGTATTCCATGGTTTGAGTTGTGACTGTGGATGGTATTGTTTTCGATCTGGAGTCGTTCACTGCTAGCGTGTAGTACCCTTGAATCTGGTCCTGTGGTGTTGTATCCTGCGGCCTTGCTGAATGGACCGGCCAATAGCCATTTGCTAGAATCCTTAGCTTATCTACATATGTTATCTACATACATGATCATGTCATATGCAGATGAAGAGTTTCATTTTCTCCTCTCCAGCCATGTTTTTCTTTTCTCTCCCCCTATCGCACCAGCCACAGTTGAGTTCCGTGTTAAATAGAGTGTTTATCCCGGCCATCTATCTTAGGGGGAACGCACTCTGTTTTTCTCCATTAATGTGGTGTTACCAGCATTAATGTGATGTAACATAGCCGCCCTTTATCAGATTACGTTCCCTTCTCTTCCTGCTCGGAGAATTTTTCTCCTGAATAGCTGTTGATTATTGCCAAATGTGTCTTCCATACTGACGTGGTACAGTGTTAATGCGGTAAATTGCATGGGTTGATTTTGCAGTGCATGGAATAGTTTTCCAGTGCTAACCCTACCTTGGACTCTTGGGAGCATGCCCAGGTGGGTAGGATGTATTATCCTTTCTAGCTATTCAATTTCTAGAATTCAATTTCTAGGATTCAATTTCTAGAATTTTGTTAATAATTTTTGTGCTTATGTTCATGAATAACCTGTTCTGGAGTTTTCTTGTAATCTCACCCTCTCATGTTGCTGCCAGATTAATGCTGGTCTCATAAAGTAAGCTGGAAAATGTTCTCTCCCCTGCTATAAATGTTCAGTAGGCTTCAATGAAGTCACCTAGGCCTAGCGTTTTCTTTGCAGGAAGACTCGAAGCTGTGGGTGTAGCTCTTTAATATGGGTTGTTTGGGTGATTTGTTTCTTCTTGAAATGCTTTTAAAAGCTGCGCCTGTCAAAGAATTTCTGGTTCATCTAGATGATCAAATTTCTAGCATAAAGCTGTTCCTGATGTTCTCTAATTATCTTTTTAACATCTACAGCATCTATAGTGATGTTTTCTTTTTCATTCTTGACTGGTCTAGATGGACGTTTGCCGATTTTGTTTATTTTCAGAGGGCTCACTTTTAATATATTTTTATTTTTAATGGACACATAATCATCGGCATACTTATGGGGCACAGTGTCGTCTTGTGCAATGCATCCTGTGTGCAGTGGTCGGATTGGAGTAGGTGACGTATCCGTCACCTCCGTCATGTATCATCTGAACATTGAAAATCCTCTCTACTAACTACTTTCAAATAGAACTGTTGTCAATCATAGTTGCCTACTGTGCTACAGACCAGGGCCCCCCAGCCCCAGCTAGTCCTGGTCTGTGGCCTGTCAGGAATCCGGCTTCACAACAAAGGTGAGAGGCAGGCACATGAGCAAAGCGTCACCTGTTTATTTACAGCCACTCCCACCGCGGGAACCACTGCCTGAGCTCCTGTTACCCAGAGACAGGCACCGTGAACATTTCGGTGCATTTTCCTCCCGCCTCTCTCTGGGCACGGGATACTATAAGTAGCTCTTTCTTTAATGATAAAAAGCATGCATTTGGAACTAGCCCGCTGAAGTCAGTTTAGCAGATCCTTCATTCTGTTGGCCACATTTGGGTGCCCTGGTCAGGAGCAGCTAAATCCGCACCTCCTGCCATCTGCCAGGCCTGCTCAGTTGTTGGCCTGGGCCTCATCCACGCCACAGAGCTGCTCCTCAGCCCGTGTGATCACAGCATGTTGGCCTTGATGTCCACGATGAACGCGAGTGGGCTGCTGTCTGTGGGCTTCCTCCAGGGGCTGCCCCTCCGAGGACGTGGGCTGCTTCCAGGACCACAGTGTCCTGGCCTCCTGAAGGTGGCTGGCATGAGCATCTTCTGCTTTGAGGCTCTGGGTGCCTCTCAATACTGTCTTCTTGGCCTTCACAGCCTTTGCTTTGGCTCTGTGGGGGACAGGAACTTCTGTCTCCACCTTTGGCACCATCTTGGTTAAAAACTACCACTACCAGCATCTTTCCTTTCACGGAACAAAGCCCCTGCGCTTCCCACAGAGCCACGTGAACATGGGTCTTTGTCCCTGCCCCCGTTGGTGTTTTCTACACTGACTGTGTCGTGGGTGTCCTTTTGTGGCCTGGCACTAGCCACTCTGTCCACACGGGAGTGACCTGAAGAGAACCTGACCTTCAGAACCCTGCCTGGCTTTGTCTGTGCCGATTCTCCCCCTCTGTCCTGTGACAGTCCTGCTTCTAATCCATTCTTAGTCTGGCCTCTGCTTCCTAGCTTGGAGCCCCGGGCACAAAAGTTTGGAGTGTACAGCTACATGTACATTGCAGTTTACCTCTCCGAAAGGGCCACCAGGAGTACCGTAACCACCCATTTTAAGAATGTAAGGGTGGTTTTATTTTGAGTCCTGGCACCTATCATAGTACCTGAGACCCAGGGTTGTTTTTTTTTTTTAAACAGTACTAGGGATGGAACTCAGGACCTTGGCACTGAGCTATATCCCCAGCCCTTTATATTTTGAGAAAGGGTCTCACTAGATTGCTAACTTACCCAGGCTGAGCTTGAACTTGCAATCCTCCTGTCTCAGCCTCCCAGAATACTGGAATCACCAGCATGTACCGCCATATCCAGCAAGGAAAAATATGAATGAATGAATGGGTGAATGAATGAATGAAAGAAAGAAAATATGGGAGAATACTTTAGTCAGCCTGAGAAAGGATGCATTCCCTGGAGACATCGTCACAGGTGGAAGAAGGAACATGGAGCTGACCAAGCGAGGGCTCAGGCTCGGCTCCATGCTGTGTGAGCTGCACCAGGCCAACACCCGCTCTGTGCCTCAGTTTCCTCACCTGAAGTTACTCGAACTTACGCCTTTCTCCTAGGTTGCTATGGTGATCAGTTCCAGGAAAGGGCCTGAAAGTGACTGGCAAAACACCAAGAAGTGACACTGCCGTTGCCCTCCCCAGGCAGGACAAATGGCCCAAGTCCCAGGCTCAGGCTGCATCTACTCCCCAGCCTGGGGCTCGAACCACAGACTACCTGGTATCTCCTCGCTGCTAACGGCAGCATATAAAATCACCGTTGTCCTTGTTTAATTACAAAAGAACTGGTGCACTTACTATATGGCATCCAGATGCAGAACTGTTAGGCTAGCTGTGTTTGCTCGAAGACTGTGTGTGTGTGTGTGTGTGTTTAAATCTCAACCATGTATTGTGGTACACAGTTCTCTTTACTGAACAGTGTTACATGGTAATCTCTGGATATCAGTAGACAGAGACCCCAAGTTGATTTGACCAGAGGCAGGGCATCCCCAGGAGGGAAGGGTGAGAGCAGTGTTTTGTTTTGTTCTGTTTTGTTTTGTATAGTTTAGGTTGGTTTGTTTTTTTGAGACAAGTAGCCTTGTGTTCTTGTGGCCTTGAACACACAGCAGTCCTCCTGCTTCAGCCTCCCGAGTGCTGGGATTACAGACATGTGCCACCACGCCTGGCTGTGTGGTAGTTCAACTGCTCCCAGCCCAGGGCCATTTCCTTGGTCCCAGTTCTTCCGTCCTGCACACGATGCTAGAATGAACATGCACCCAGCTTGCCTTCTATTTCACTCCTACCTGAGTTTTTCTCAGGCCCCTCTTTCCCCTGGGTCCCTCCCCACACACTGCCCTGTGCCCTGCACACTCACGCCCCTGCCCTGGCCCTGTATCCCGCCCTAGGCCTTCCCCAAGAAGCTGGTGGAGCCTGTCTGTGCTTTCTGGAACTTCAGTACCAGGTGGGTGTCCATTTCTATGTTACTGAAATAAGGCAGCTTTTTAAAAAAGACATAGAGCCGGACGTGGTGGTGCACGCCTGTCATCCCAGCACTCAGGAGGCTGAGGCAAGAGGATCGTTGCGAGTTCCAGGCCAGCCTGGGCTACAAAATGAGTTCAAGGCCAGCCTGAACTGCATAGTGAGACCCTGTCTCACAAAGACAAAAAAATAGGGCTGGGGATATAGCTCAATGGCATAAGCACCTGCCTGGCAAGCGCAAGGTCATGAGTTCGATCCCCAGTACTGCAAAAAAAAAAAAAAAAGACAAAAAAATAAAAAATAAAAGACATAAACTCTGTTTACACATGAGGCAGAATACTTGTGTGTGACCTCCAGACACAGCCGTGCAGGGGTGATTCCAGGGCCCATCCAGCTACAGGACAAACTGGGCAGGAGACTGTCTTACCAGGAGGTAGTGAGCTCCCTGCCCCAGGAGGTATGTAAGGGAAGCAGCAGTCACTATGTGAGGGGCCTCATGCATGAAATGGGGCTTGATTTTGAGCCTATCTGAGGCAGGGCCTGGCACACTGAAGGTGTCCAGGAGTTGGCCCAGCTCCCTGTCCTGGTCTTTAGCTGAGAGAGGAGACACCAGTCACAGTTGCTTTGTCACCAGCATCAGCAAGAATGGTGGTCACCAGTGTCAGCTGGTCCTCGCCATCCCTGAGAAGGCAAAGTGCATTTGACAGATGGGAAACTGAGGCTCACGGCAAGGCAGTGCCTGGCCAAGGTCACACAGCTGGTGAGAGATGGGGCAGCAGTGAGGAGAAGCTGTCCCTGCCTGCCACTGCCACGGCTCTGTGGCCACCCCACTCAGAGCCTTTTTCCTCCCTACCCCAAGCCCAGAGACGGGGGGATCCTGGGCCACCACCGGCTGCTCCGTGCTCACCCTGTACCAGGACTCGACTGCCTGCTTCTGCAACCACAGCACCAGCTTCGCCGTCCTGCTGCAGGTCTACGACGTCCAGGTAAGCAGGGCTCTCATCCGGGTCTGCAGGGATGAGCAGCGGCGAAGCAAAAGGCCCAGGGAGGCACCTCAAGCAGGGCTGGTCTGCACAAGGGCAGGGAGGTGGGACAGGACACAGGGGGCTGGTCGCACAAGTCCCCACACCGGAGAGGCAGACAAGGGCAGGTCAGGGGCCGAGGCCTCAGCCCCTGAGAGGGCACAGTGGGTAGCGGGTTTGGGGCGGCAGAGAGCCCGGGGCCTGGAGTCAGGTGTTCTGCAGGGGTCTTGGTTGTACCCGAAGCCGTGGCCCAGGTGAGGCAGGAAGTAAGAGGACACTCGGTCACAAGAGCCCCCGAGGGGGCATCAGTGCCCACAGACAGGGGAGCAAATGCTAAGGGAGACCGGGTCTGGAGCTTGAGAGGAGTGCTAAGGGGTCAAGTTAGATGAGGCCAGAACCGCTGGAAGGCTGAGGTTACCTGGCTCTGGGGTATATTATTCGCTGTGTTCTTCCTGTGAGGACAGCATGGATGTTTACGTGTGATAATGACCCATCCAAGCCCCGCTTTTAATGGTGACCCCCTGCTGCCCCTGTGGGCGGTCACTGTCGGGGGATCCCCTCCCTGTGGCCTATAGGTGACCCCAGTCCTGCTCGCTCAGCGGAGACGGGGCCGGTTGGGGCTAGCTCAGGGACAGCCGGCGGGAGAGGTGCACATGCCCACTTATTAAGCCCCTACTGTGTGCAGGCCTGGGCCCCGCCAGCTGGCGCCCTTATGTCCCTGCTTTCCCACGCAGCAGGGGAGGGGTCCGGTCTAGGTCAGGGGTGACAGGTCCTCTCTGTCCCTCCCTGCAGAGAGGCCCCGAGGAGGAGTCGCTGCTGAGGACGCTGTCATTCGTGGGCTGCGGCGTGTCCTTCTGCGCCCTCGCCACCACCTTCTTGCTCTTCCAGGTGGCCGGGTGAGGACAGCGCCCAGCGCCCTGGCCGGGTGCTGCGCCTTCTGGGCCTCCACAGTCCCTCAGGCCACTGTCCGTCCGTCCTTGGGCCCAGTGACCGTGCAAGGAGCCTCCCCTTGGGCCACGCTGGCCCCGTGCTGCCAGCTGGTCTTCCTCCCTTCCTCATCACTGGGACGTGATACCTGACACCCACAGTGCAAGGGTTGATCTGGGCTCGTGGTTCTAGGGGATTCCACCCACAGCCGCTCTAAGGCAGGGCGGTCTGCTGGGGGAAAGCAGAGACTCCAGGAAGCAGAGCAGGGAGGAGCCTGGGAGGGAGATGAACCCCTGCAGACCACGCCCCAGCCACGCCCCAGGGCCGAGTGGCCCGCCCCGCCTCCTGACTGCAGGTCCGCCGTGAACCCATCCGTCCTGTAACCAGCGCGGCTCTGCGATGCAGTCACCTCCCAAAGGCCCCCCAACACCTGAGCCTTCCAGGGGGACGGGCCACGGGTGCTGTCCTCGTTTACTGACTCCTGTGCCGTCCAGGGTCCCCAAGTCGGAGCGGACCACAGTCCACAAGAACCTCACCTTCTCCCTGGCCTCTGCCGAGGGCTTGCTCATGGCCAGCGAGTGGGCAAAGGCCAACCAGGTGGGCGGAGGGGTGCAGGTGCGGCCCGGGAGCTCAGGGGGGCCAGGAAAGCACCCAGGCGGCTCCTGTTTGTCCCCTTGTCCCTGCCATCTTCGCGGGGAGAGGGGGGCCAAGGCCCAAAAGGAAAGGCCCCAGAGGGTGGAGCCCGGAGATCTCCCCCGCATCCCTGTTGGGGTAGTGATGCAGGCACAGGCGTGGGGCCACGCACGGGGCTGTGCCCGGAGCGACCTCAGTGGGGCCCCCCGCCCGCCCGCAGGTAGCGTGTGTGGCCATCACCGCTGCTATGCACTTCCTCTTCTTGGTTGCATTTTCCTGGATGCTGGTGGAGGGGCTGCTGCTCTGGAGCAAGGTGGTGGCCGTGAGCATGCGCCCGGGCCCTGGGATGCGCCTGTACTACGCTGCAGGCTGGGGTGAGGCCTCTGCTGTCCCCATGCTTCAGCTTGCGTGGCTCCATGGCCGCCTACAAGATCGGGCCCACGCGACCCGGCTCCCTGGTGTCCCCGGGCTGGGTCCTGGAGAGAAAAGTGATGACATAGCCGGGTGTGGTGGCGCACAGCTGTCCTGCCAGCACCCCAGGAGGCTGAGGCAGAGGGACGGCAAGTTCCATCCCTTGCCAGGCAACTCACGGAGTCCCTGTCTCAAAACAAAAAAATGTTAAAATAGGGCTGAGGGTGTAGCTCAGCGCAGTGTCCCTGGGTTCAATTCCCCAGCACCACGGGAGAGGGAGTGTCGCAGCCTGAGGCCACCCCTTCTCTCCCTAGGAGCGCCTGCGGTCATCGTGACTGTCACCCTGGCCACAAGCCCTGGTGACTACGTGGCCGCAGGGCACTGCTGGCTCGATGTGCACACAGATGCCATCTGGGCCTTCGCGGGGCCTGTGCTCTTCGTGTTGGCAGTGAGTCGGGAGGGGGCCCAGGGAGAGATGTGTCAGGGACCGGGGTCCTTTCGCCCACTGACCTCAGCTCTGCAGGCCAATACCTGCATCCTGGTCCGAGTGGTGATGGTCACCGTGTCCAGTGCCCGCCGCCGCACACGCGTGCGGAGCCCGCAGCCCAGCCTGCAGCAGCAGCTCGGTGTCCAGATGTGGTGAGGCTGGGACGGAGGAGGGCGGGGCAGGTGAAGAGGCGCCTGGGGCCATCTGGCGCCCATGTGGATGTGAGCAGGGGGGGCGATCCTAGGGATGTGGCTGAGCTCAAAAAATGCAAAAGGGCTGGAGAATTGGTGCTGGTCTCTTGGCACCTCTGGGTGTCTGGGAAGGAGAAGCAGTGGTAGAAGAGGTGGGAACCAGAGTCCTGCCAGAGGGGCGTGGGGGGTGCTGTGTGTGATCCCAGGTGTACAGCTCAGCCCCCCCCCCCCGCCTCCCATGCGCTGCTCCCCCAGCCCTGCCCATCCTCCACAGGGCCACGGCGAAGCCAGTGCTGGTCCTGCTGCCCGTCCTGGGCCTTACCTGGCTGGTTGGCATCCTGGTGCACCTTAGCCCAGCCTGGGCCTACGCTGCTGTCGGCCTCAATTCCCTCCAGGTACCTCCGGGGCCTGGCCGGTGGGCTCACAGTCACTGCGGGGCCGGCCAGCCTGGGCTGCACCATGGGCAGGGACAGTGGTGGGGAGAAGGGTCAGGGGAGCGCCTGGGACCATGGACACGAGGCACCACTCTTGGTGGACCCAGACAGGGACAGGTGGTGACAGCCCTGGGAACTGATGCTGGGAGAGAGGGGAGCTCCGGCCAGGTCCCCTGCCCCTGCTTCTCTGCTGGGCTCCCTGTACCTCTCCTGTCCCCCGTCACCCCCCACCAGCACTCCTCACCCTGGGTCCCTCTCTGGGGAGATGGGGCTGAGGCAATGACAGCTGCGCTCAATGCCTAGGTGCTTGCTCAGGGCGGCTCCATTTCTGTCTCCCTGCCTGCTTCGTCAGCGAGGAGACCGAGGCCTCCTGTACTCACTTGCCCAAGGGGTCACGGCGGGAAGGAGCGGCACTGGACCCCAAATATAGAGCCCCCTCCCGGTCCCATGTCCTCTGCACCTCGCAGGTTCCCCTTCCAGCTCTGGGCCTGGCATCTTGTGACCCTGGCTGGCTTCCTCCGCCCAGTCACAGGGTCCTGGCACCTCAGTGCCCTGGTGATCTCCAGCTCTTTGCCGGGTGCCCCCAGCAGGAAGTCACGGTGTGGGTCTTGGGGCTCCCTGCCCTCCTGTAACCCCAGGGGACAGAGATGTGGCGTAGGGGCCGAGGCTCCTCACCGCCCGCCCCTCCCCTTGGCTTTCTCAGTGTGGCTTCTTTGTCCCCCCTCTGGGCGTTGCCTGGCTCCTCCGCTCTCTCCTCCCCTGCTGACCTCTGTGCCTGTGGCCCCAGGCAGGGGCTCTCGCTGCTCTCCCAGGCCTGGCCTGTCCTGTCCACTCTCCAAACTGGACAGATCTGCCCTGGGGACAGTGACCAAGGGGTGTGTGTGTGGTACAGTCGAGGCTGGAGCCCAGGGACGGTCAGGACAGGGGACAGAGGAGCCGCTCAGGGAGGCAGAATGGGAACACCCTGGAGGGCTAACACCTGAAGGCTGCGCAGGAAGAGAGAAAGGAATGTTTCAAGGCTGAATATGGTGCCAGACACATGTAATCCCAGCAAGGCTGAGGCAGGAAGATCCCAAGTTTGAAGCCAGCCTAGGCAACTTGGCAATTTAATGAGACCTGGCCACAAGATAAAATTTTAAAGGCCTGGGAGGTAGCTCAGTGCAAAGGCCCTGGGTTCAATTCCCAGGATAGGAAAAAAAAGTTTGAAAGCATGGAACCTTGGGGGAAACATGAGGAGGAGGTGAGAAATGAGGTGTGTGGGCACTAGACAGTGCAAGACCCTCAGAGCTGTCACAAGGTTGGACACTGTCACAGGGCTGCTTGGGAGCCATGGAGGGTGCTAGGCAGGTGCTGGTGTAGTCGGGTGGCAGTTTGGAAAGATGCCTCTGCTCTGGTGTGGGGATGAGAGGATCCCGGAGGGAGGGCAGAGCCTGGCTCTGGGGGTTGTGAGTCGCCAGAAGTTGTCTTGGGGGCCACAGGGTGAAGGCATCTATCTCAGTTGGTGCTGGCAACTGGACCGCGTGGGCTGTAGCTGGCTTCCAGCCCTGGGGCGTCCATGTGCCCCAGGGTCTCCCAGGCCTAGCCTCAGGGCACGAGCAGCTCCCCTTTCTGTCCTAGGCGCCAAATCCCACCCGTGGGGCCGCGCTGCGGCGTGAGACCCATTCCGTGCCCCCTACCCTAGACCGCGGCCGCTGTCCACCACACGGGGGGAAGGAACACCCCGCCTGCTGCGCAGCTGCTAGGAGGGTCCGGGAGACCCCAATGCCTCAGCCCTGAGCCGGTCTGTGCAGCACTTCTCATCCCGAAAGGGGCAGTCAGCCTGTCCCCCTTTCCGGATGACAAGGCCTCGGACCATCGGAGGGTGTCCACTCCGCTCCTGCAGGGTGGCCGGGCTGCAAGGATGGGCAGCGTGCGGAGGTCGGAGCCGCCCCCTGGCGGCAGGGCTCGGCTGCGTCGCTGCTTTGTCCTGCCACCACTGGGGGGCGCTGCGACCCTAGGCAAGGCGGGGCGGGGTGCGGGGGTCGGGCAGTGAAGCCGGCTCTGTCCCCAGGGGCCGTACATCTTCCTGGTCTACGCCGCCTGCAATGGGGAGGTGAGTCGAGGTCGCGGGCGGCGGGGCCTGGGCCCAGGGCAGCAGGGTCTCCCGCCCGACCTCGGCGCCTCCCGCAGGTGCGAAGAGCACTGCAGAGGGTGGCGGAGAAGAAGGCGGCGCTCGCGGTGCCCCGCGGGGAACCCGAAGCCCACGCCCACGGCCGTGCCTTCCAGACGCGCAACCAGGACGGCCCCGCAGCCTGGGGTCCCCCACGAAGACACGTGGCTCTCAGAGGTCTGGGCTTATCCTGCCATACTCCGTCTCCCTGTGCTCACACACAGCCCAGGGGACAATGACACACCCTGTCAACTTGTTTGAAAGACAAGGAAACTGCAACCTGGAGGAATGGGCTTAGAAAAGATTTGTTGAGCCAGGCGTGGTGAGTGCCTGTAACCCCAGCAATCAGGAGGCTGAGGCAGGAGGATCTCTGCGCATTTGAGGCCAGCCCGGACTATGTAGTGAGTTGAAGGCCGTCCTAAACTACATCTCCAGGCCCTGTCTAAAAAAAAAAGAAAGAAAGAAAGCTTGTGCCCAACCCAACCACCACCACCTAGAGAAAGCAGGGACTTTGGCGCCCAGGCAGGGGTAGGGCTTGTGGGGTGAGCTCCCCAGGGTCTCCGGCAGGGGGGCTCTTGGAGAGCTGTGAGTGCTTGGGGGTAAATAACCCCCAGGCAGTCCAGGCCCCAGCCCTTCATGCCATGAAGCTGGGCCCGTTGTCGCTGATCAGGGGTGAGGGGCAGAGAGAGGGCTTCCCCTGTCTCACAGCGCCGTGTTCTTCCCCTGCCAGGGACCCCCGGCCCCAGGATCCCCGAAGCCTTCTCCTCCATCGCAGACCCGGAGAGGCCGGTGAGGCTGGGGCGCGGGCGGTGCGCGCTGCCCCTGGGGACCGGGGCCTCAGTTGCCGGAGCTGCTGTGCGCGCTGCAGGCACAACTGAATGCCAAGGTCACCGGGTGGAGGGAGGCGCCATCTCCAAGGCAGCCAAGGGCCCCGGGGCCGGGGAGCCGAGTGGGGGCCCACGCTGTGCCCTCTGTCCTCAGGCTGTGGAGCTGACGGCGTTCAAGGCCTCAGGTACTGTGCCCCTTCCGCTGGGCCCTCACCCCTCACCCTGCCCAGTGCCAGTTTCTGAGAAGCACCCACACTGACCTGCCTCAGCCTAAGGGACCCTCAGCCGGGTCTGAAAGTCAGGCCCTGCTCGGGGAGAGGACCAAGTGGAGGACCCTGGCCTGGCCTGAGGGAGTCAGGGCGACCCTGCTGCCTGCCAGCCTGTTCAGCCCGAGTCTCACCCTCCCCACCCTGGGGACTGAACCCCGGGCCCACACTGAGCTACATCCCCAGCCCGTTTTTTATGCTTTATTTAGAGACAGGGTCTCCTTAAGTTGCCGTTGTCCAGGCTGGGCTTGAACTTGTGAGCCTCCTGCCTCAGCCTCCCAGAGAACTGGGATGACAGGCGTGCGCCACCACACCCCGTTTGAGTTCCCACAAATTTAGACCCGCACTGAAGCCTCACGCGCTGGCATGTCCAGCGGGGACCCAGAGGCCTGGCTAAGGAACTCCCAGGGCCAGGCGTGTCGAGCCCCGGGCATCTGCCTACTCTCCTCCAGTGACCTGGGGAGCGTGCTGCCCTGGCTCAGAGCAGAAGCCAGGGCCACCTTCACGGATGGGGAAACTGAGCCCGGCCCCAGACCCCGTGAGTGTAGGCACGGGCGGACCTGGGCTGGGCGCCCCCTGCAGGCCGACCGGGGGCGCGCAGGGCCGGGCGGGGGATCCGAGGAGCACCCCCGCCCCACCCCCACCGCACGGGCGGGCGCGGCGTCTTCGGGAACAAGAGCCGCACGGCGCCTCTGCGCTCAAGTGACAGCGCCTTTGTCTCTGCTGAATGGGTGCGTTGCTAGGGCCGCTCGTAGCAACCGGCGCTTCCACCTCGGCCCCACCCTCCCGACCCCCGGCCCTGGCCGGCTTCGCCCGCTCCGGCTTCCAGCGCCCCACCCGTGGGTGGGCGGAAGGGAGCGGAGCGGGGCTGCCCGTCGCGGGTCCCTCGCGGTGCCACCGCGCCCTCCCGAGAGCCCCGGCGGCCCGGCGGCTTGCAGGGGGCCTTCGCCGGAGCAAATGCGTGACCCAAGCCAGGCCCCGCAGCGAGCTCGCCCCAGCCTGTGCCCCGGCTGGGGTTGGGGCGCTCCCGGCAGCCACTCCAAGGGCGGCTCCCCCCCGCCAGGTTTCTAGCTCAGCTGGCCTGGGGACCTCATCCCCGAACCCCGGCCTGGACGCGAGGTGCAGCTGGCCATGCCGAGCGAGGCCGGGACGCAGCCGGGACGCAGCCGGGACAGCTCACTCCCCGCCCCGCCCTCCCGTCCCAGGCGTGTCCGCGCCTGCCCCTGCCCCGCCCTGCCCCGCCGCGCCCGCTAATAAACTGAGGTTGAGGCTCCGCTGGCCTGTCTGGAGTGCCCCTGGCCGGGGAGGGCGGGGGAGAAGCGGCTGCTTTGGCTTGGGCACTCTGCCTCGTCCCCACGGTGGGTCCCGGGATCGGTGTCCCCAGGCCTTAGGCTGGGGGCGCGGGACTGCCCCACCGCCCTGCACAGGAGAGGGCAGCGCCGCCGCTCGGGCCTGGGGTCGCCTGGCCACGCAGCACAGGGCCAGCAGAGGGGCCAGGCCCGGCCACCACCAAGCGCTGTGGGGCCACGGCGGCACTTTCCGAGCCTCGGCCCCCTCTTGGGCACAGTGAGCAGAGGCTCGGGATTTCTTAGGGCCCAGCACGGGACTTCGGGACGGGGCAGGGCGGGGCGGGTTCTTAGGGCCCAGCACGGGACTTCGGGACGGGGCAGGGCGGGGCGGGGCCGGCCCGAGGCGCCCAGGGCCTGGAAGTCCCGCAGGGCGGAGGGCGGAGGCTGCAGCGGCGCGAGAGGCCGAGCGGGCTGCGTGGGACGCACCGAGACCGTGGGCCCGCGCGGCGGCGTCTAGGGGAGACCGAACCAGCACACAAGCCCGGGAGTCTGGCGCCTCGTTCCGGGCACCCAGGAGCATCGCCGGGGACGCGTGCGGGGTGCCCGGCCTGCAGACCATGCTAAGGCCTTGACGGTGCCAGGCTGGGATGGAGGAGGGAGGTCAGGCCGGTGACCTCCGGGGTCACCGAGCGGGTGGAGCCTGAGGGTCTGAGGAAGAAGAATGGAGCTGGGAGGGCACTGGGTGCCCCTCGAAAGCCTGCATGTTCCGGTGCTCTCGCTCCTCCCCTCTTTTGGAGGGCTGCTGTCTTGCCACCAGTTATAAGGGCTGCTGAGGGGACGGAGACCCCCCCTTTCTGCTCTATACCCTTCCCCTGAACACATGCCCTCTTCACTGTCCAGCAGAACACTGCCCGCTGATCTCCTTCCATCTCTGGCCTCATACTATTTTTTCTGCCTGGACTAGCCCAACCTCTCTCCAACTGGTGAACTCCTAGGCATCCTTCAAAACCCAATTTGGACAGTGCCTTAGCTATAAAACCTTCCCGTCCTTTCTCTTGTCCCCCAGGAATAGAAATGACTACATCCTCATTTTATCTGGATCAGTTCCACGATACATTGCACTGGATTATAATCCTAGCAAGACTCCCCTTTTGTAAGATTAGACAGTGCCCTGGGGCAGGTACTAGGGTCCCACTTTGGTTCTGCAGTTGTCAAGGCGAGGGGCAGCTTTTCCCTCCATAGTAGTTGCTGCCACCCCGCCCCAGGGGAGGTGCCTTTTCTCGTGGCGGGGAAGTCCTGAGAGGACCGGGAGTGACCCAGCAGCTGGTTAAGGTGGGTCAGAACAATGGAGCTGTGCACAGTGGGTGGCTGTATCTCTTTCTAGCTGTGTGGACAGGCCACTCACTCCTCGGTGCCTCAGTTTCCTCATCTGTCATCAGGGCTGCCACCTCTAGAAGTAGCTTTGAAGAACAGGTGGGACAGCAGGACCAGGCAGCGGGGCATCACCTGGATGCCTGGGACACAGCAAGCACCCTCAGCGTCACCCCACTCACTGCTGCCACCTCCCACACCTGGGGGAGGCAAGTCAGCCAGGGTGGTGACTGGGGGCTGAGAGGGGACCCAGCTGGAGCTCTGTCCCCCAGGTCACTGCTTAAGGTCCCTTGGCAGATGCCTCCGCCTCCTGGGTCAGAATCCATGGCTCCAGGGACACTGTAGGGACAGTGAGAGGGGAGGGGATGCAGTAGGTGCTCATTAAACAATCGCTTCTTTCTACCCTAGGAGGTCCAGCCTCCACAGTGCCTGGTGTCCCTTCACCTTGGCACCTACAACCCATCCTGCCTCCCCAGAGTTTGTTTGTTTGTCTTTTTGAGATAGGGTCTAGATACGCAGTTCAGGCTGGCCTCAAACTCGCAACAATTCTCCTGCCTCAGCCTCCTCAGTGCCGGGATTATAGGCGCCCACCGCCATGCCCAGCTTCTCCCCAGAGTTTGGAACCAAAGGTTCTCCGCTTGTTACCACCATCCCAGTCGAGCTTCGCCCCACCCCGGCCCCCCGATCCACAGAGGAGCTTCTGCTTTGTCCCCAGAGTGCTCATCGGCAAAGGGAGCTGGAAACAAATTGCAAAATTTATTTGAGGGCTTCGGGGCCTGGCGAGATTCGTAAGGGCACTTCTTGTTCCGGGGCTGCGGGTCTCTGGCCTTGGCAGGGGCATGCATCTTGAGGGGCTGAGGCGGGGCTGAGTCAGGGCCGCGGAAAGCAGGGGCAGGGACGCCCCGCTGTCTCCAACCTGGCAGGCTCAGCACGCGCGGCAAAGGCGACACAAAAGCAGGGTGGACAGCAGAGAAGGCCAGAGAGCTGAGGCGGCTACCAGGGCTGCAGCCGGGGCCTCCTGGACAGGGCCGTGAGGGAGGGCTTGTCTGCGCTGGCCCCGACCCGGGGGCCTGTTTGCCTTCCCTGTTTGGCCGTTCTTCGCCCTCAGGACTCTGAGCCCCACAGGCCCCTGCGATTCACCTCGTGGTGTGGAGGACAAGCACAGGTCTTCTCCGGACTGCAGCAGGGGGCTCAGCAAAATGGCCCCGCCCCCACCCCCCCCTCACCCCAGGGTACTGGGGACCAGTGTCGGGGAAGAAGTCTGGGCCTGCACTTGGTGCTAACCCGCAGGACCCCCTTCCTCAGTCCTCCAATCCATCCCCGCCCTCCAGCACGCACACCTCCTCCAAGAGTGTCTAGGAGACCGGGAAACAACCAGGCAAAAAACCCTCTTGACTACACCCTTGCAGATTAGTCCCCGCCGTGGCCAGTGTGGGCGGGTGGGATGTGGACGGTACCAAAGCCCTTCCTGGGGTGGGGGCAGACGGCAGGGAGAGAAGGCTGATGGCGGCAGCGTCCTGGACCACAGCCTCCCCTGCAGAAGTGAGACGGGTTGAGGGCCAGGGGGAGGTCTTTGGGCCCTCACCAGTGTCCAGCTGTCCTCTAGGGCCAACGGCCCCTGCCCAACTTAGCAAACCCACTTCTCGCTAGAGTAGAAAACACAGGGCTTCCCTCCCCTCCACGAGGATCTGCAGACCCCTCTCCTTCCCCGACTGATGCCCACTCCACTTCCCCTGCTCCTGATTCCAGGACAGGGGAAGGGAGGACATCAAGGCCTCCCAGGGAGTCCCACACCTCCTCCCGACCTGCCCTGTGCTTCAGCCTCCAGGACGGAAGCCGGGAGCAGGGAAGGAGGGGATGGTTGGCAGCCGAATCTCTAGGGCACTCTGGGTGGCAAGCGAGTGCCAGTGGCAGGTGAGGGCCACCCCCTAAGCCAGGCCCTGCCCATCCCACGGACAGCTCCTAGCTCGGGCTGGGGCCGCCCCTCCGGCGGCTCAGGTCTGCTTGGCCTGCAGCATCTCGATGAGCAGGTTGTTGCAGGGCATCTCGTTGCCCAGGTGCTTGTGGTACAGGTACTCCTTGGCCTGCATGCTCAGGGCCCGCACCTCCACCAGGCACAGCAGCAGCTGCTGGAACTTGTCCCCGCAGTGCGGGTAGTGGCACAGCGTGTAGTCCAGCAGGGCTGCGTTCGCCTTCTCCTGGGCGTCCTTCACCAGGCTGTGGTTGTTCAGGAACTTCACATCTGCGGAGGGAGGCGCTCTGTCACCCTCCGGTCCCCGCCCCAAGACCCCGTCCCCCTCAGGTTGGACCCACACTGACACTGGCACGGCCAGCACCCCCTCCCCGGAAACCACCAAGGCCGAGGACACCACCATAACAGGTCCCTCGCCACCATACTGCCACCACTGTCACCTCATCTGAGACACTGCCACCATCACTTTCCACCCACATGGCTGCTGCCACTGTCGCCAGCCAAACCACTGTTACTGCCACCAGCGTCATTTGCACCGTCGCTGCATGATGGTGACAACGGACACCGACCATCACCAGGGACCCGCGCCAACCCCGCCGTGGCGCCTCAGGGCAGGTGATTTGAGCCACTCGGTTTCTCATCTGAGGAATGGGGTGACGGGGACACGCAGGAGGACAGGGTGTGACATGTTGGACAGGAGCAGTTATCACACTGCTTCTCTCTCACCGCAGCTGTGGGCCTGGCCGTAACACTGGCTGTCACTGCCAAAGCCACCCTGGTCATCACCACCATGCCTGTCCCCACGGTCACCCCATCGCCACCACCA